TTTAAACAATTGAATTAATTAAAGGGAAAATGTTTAGGAAAAAGATTTTAAAAGCATAGTTAAACAGATGGGAAGTAAATCGGCTTGCTAGACTTGTTTTCTATTTGGGATTTATAAGATAAGAAAAAATATATTGTGTTGTTAAAACTGTTGCTCTTCATAACAAGTACCTTAATGTCTTGGTACATAAAGCCAATTTAACAGAGGAATAGTGACTCTAAGCAGGCGTGCTAATAAAAGATATCACATATGCTTAGACAAGGTTCTTTGAATAGGAGTAGCATTGTTAGCTTTGATACACAAAGACTGGCAGATAATTGCATATCCTTTTGTGACAACACACACAGAATACCACAGAACTTGCAGAAGGACCTGTATTATCATTGTTATCTATTTGTTTTCATTCTTCTTTTTTGATTGGCACATCTGATATATGAAAGCAGAAACCTTTTTGACCTGTGTTTTTACCTTTTCTCTGCCTATTATGTGTCTGTAGAAGAAAGGGGAACAGAGGAAACTAGGAAAGACATGAGCAATAGATGGAGGTCTTCATAAATGTCAAACAGCAACAGAGGCAGATATATATTGATTGACCCTGCAGTAAGCTTTGTGTAAGTGAGTACCTGTCACTCCTCCAACATGTCTTTCTGATCGGAGAGCTGGACAGTAGTTCACTTCATCGGCAATTGTCTGGTCAGACAGGCAGTCAGCCTAATCCATGTAACTAAACCAGACCACTCTGGCATCTATTGTGTCACGCTGCCTCAGGCACGTGATATTTACTTGTTTTGAAAACAACTGGAAAATAAAATAACAAATTTTAATCTAGGGTGGTTGATCATCCTCTCTCTTTTTGTAGACATGGAGGTGGGCAGTAGTCTAGTGGATAGGACATTGGATTGGGACTTGGGACACCTGGCTATGCTTTGTCTTTGTCAAACAATTTTGCAGAGGGAATTGATATATCCTTCATCTCTTTCTACCTTCAAATCAAGGAATGTCTAGAAGATATGCTTTTGTTAGATAAAAGCTTCTAGATTCAATAGTGGAACATCTGGATGAAATTCTATGGCTTGTTTAATACAGGAGGTCACGGTACATGATAATGGTCCATTGTAGCCTTAAACTGTGAATTTAGTAAACTAATATATGCAGAACATGTTTACAATCTTAATTTTAACTGGAGTAACTTTCATTTTATTTCAGGAGTCCATTTATATATATATCTGTTCAGTATGCATGTAATTTTTGAGAACCAAAGAATTGATTGGCTTTGGTGGTTTGAAAATGGGATGGGATTATTTTGGATAGTTTGAAGATCAAGGATACTGGCTTAGTATGAGAAACTAGCACATAGAGATAGTGCTCCTATTCTCACTTGGCTTGATAGTGAGACTGTCGCGGAGAGGGACCTCTTTGTTCAACATAAGCGATAATTTTGTCTCAAGGACAGCTTGCTTTTCTGCCTCCTTGTAGGGAAATTGTGCATACTAAGGCCTGATAATGGCATCTGAGCTAAAATTAATAGAGCCTCATTTATAAAATGAATGCAACTTGCTTTTCATCAGTTGTTTTTAGTGCTTATTTTGGAAGCCCATGTATAGTTCCCACTGAAGTCAGCACTAAAGTTGGAAAATTTATTTAGGACAGTGAAAGGATGGCTCGGCACGCAAGATGCCAGCTTCTGTCCCTTGTTCTGCTACAGCCATCCTTTGTGAATTTCACAAGTTAGGCCCAGACCACCAAAAGCTATTTTTTCCTTTTTTCCTTTCCCTGAAGAGAATTAGGCACTTAATACTTTGATCCTGGTCTTAACCTCTTTGTGCCCCAGTCTTGCATCTGCACAATCCCTTCCAAACATAGGGGTTGTGGGGATAAACATCCTAGAAGATTGTGTGGTACTCAGGCACTATGTTAATGGAAATCGCACAAGCACCTGAGGCAGCAAAAAGACAGTATAGCTAGACTAACAGAATGAAACAAAAGAAAAAAGATTTAGGCTGGCTATAAAGGGAAAAAAAGAAATCTACCTGCCATTTATCTTGGAGATTGTTCTTCCAAGAATAATGAGGGCGGCTTTTTCAGCTGTGATCTTAAAACTGAACTGGAAAAAAAAAAAAAAAAAAAACATTAGTTATTTTAAGTTCAGGAGAAGTCTTGCCATGTTGGAAGAGATTAATTATATGAATTAAGGTACAGACATTTCACATCCATATATTATAAGAACCTGGTAGGGGTATTAAGGGACTAGAGTAAGCAACTATTTCAAACGTTACAGCACAGATCTTCCAAGCTTAATGGCATTAATGTAACTTAAAGAACATTAAACACCTACGTGCCTCAAAAAATCTGGGCCTAAATGGAAGCCAATCTGTTTTGAAAATCTGGTCTTAAATATTTTAATAAGGAAAGTGGATTAAAATACCTGGCAGTCAAAATTGCTTACTGATACTTTGCCATGAGCAACAGTCACCGACTTGGTTAGGGACTCGGATGAAACAATTACCAGCACCTTGGAGAAAAAAGAGATTTAAGGAAAGTAAATGTCAAGGAAGAAGTACAGGATGCTTGGCGATCTCCATTAAGCTTGGAGCTGGGAGGTCCATGTGCAGAGCAGCTGGAGAATAGGGGGTCTTTGAAGCAATATTAGCAATAATGATGGGAGGGTAACCCATCTGAGGTCCCTTATAACCCATGCAAGTGCCTGATTCTACATTTCAAAGGAAGATGAGCTTAATTACTCCATCCTGTTAACGACATAGGCGTGACCTAGTGATTGATTTCTCACTGGTATTTTTACATTCTTCTTCCCGTGAGAAGAACATCTTCTCTCTCTCTCTTTCTTTTTTTTTTTTGTCTAGTTTACTCCTTTTGTTTGTAGCCTTCAAAGTAAATGCCTGCTTTTAATGTCTTGTCCCTGTTGTTATGGAAACTACCCATTCCACCCCCAGTGGACCTCATGCCCTCCTAGCTGGCTCCACAGCCACTCTCCCATCACAGCTGTTTGTGGTCATTCACTTCTGCTGTCTCTGCAAGCATACACTCCCTTCAGCATGATGTTTCTATACCCACATTAACTTAGTTTCCTGCTGGCTTTCCTCATAGTTAAAGGTTAGGAGAGCGCAGGGGATCCTCAGTATGCAGATTGGATTTCTGATTGTCAAGCAACTGTAAAAATACATCCCATCTGATTAAGTTCCAAAATATAATAATACAAAGATGCTATCTTGCAAATAGACCATCGTTTTAAGAATGTATGTTAGGAAGAGGTACCCAGGTTGTAGCCATATTGGTCTAGAGGAAAAGGCAATCAGGACTCCTAGTAGAGACCTTTTTTAGACCAACAAGAGTTTGGCAAAAAATGTTTTCTTTAATTGCAAGCTTTCAGGCACAAACATCCTTCGTCAGGCAATGGAGAAAAGATTGTAAAAAGTTCTCCTGGGTAGAAATGAAAGGAAGAGGAGCATTAACAAATGCCCTGAGTTGTAGCACACAATTTGGATACCACTTTTTATTTCTTGTAGTTCCCAGGGGCCCAAGCTCTGTTGAGTCATAAATATAAAACAGGGGCTAGTCCCTGCCTCTCACCATTTAGGGCTGGAGTCACAAAGCCCGACTTTTCGGCACTCTGCTGCCTAATGGAATTTACATCATCCTGTTAGGCACTAATAAGGTTCCCGGCACTATGCTTGGGGAGGCAATGGGATTCACAGAGGTCAACCACCTCAGCTAGCCAGTAGGAAATGCTCAGGCAAGAAGGATGTAATCTCAGCCCAGGGGGCTTAGGTCCTTATCTCCATACATGATTCACAGCCATGATGCCTCTCCTGGCATAAATGCCTAAGTGCTCCGACCTTTTTATCTTATAGCCCAGAGCTTACAACAGGAAAGAGGATCAAATTTAAGTCCTTTCTTTATCCAGTGGGATTTGAACTCTCCTATCTCTTCACCCAGGTAAAGGTTTTAGGCTTTCAGGTAACAGTTGTTTTCAGCCGCACTTGCTAAAGCTGATTAATGGGGGAAAATGTATTTCTTCAAAAAACAGAGAGAGACTTTAGAGACCAAGGGATTAGCATACTTACTTGAGGCAGGGATATGTGGGTTCAAACTCTTTTAGGCAGAGGAAGGACTTGAGTGTTAGTCTCCCAGATCCCAGTATTTTAGTTGGTGGGGTCTTGGTTAAAAGAGCTGCTATCAGCACCTCCTTTGGCCATTTGTTAAGTGGGGTTAATGTGGTCACAGTATGATCTCACACAAGATAATTGGGGGGCATTTATTTATGAATTCTGATGGGGCCTATGTGTAAACTACATGCTGAGATACTCCACATTGTCAGGACTTGACAGTTGACTATGAACCCAGTGGCAGAAATTTGAGTGCTTATGGTACTTTGGTACCAAAGTGCTATTTCAGGCATAAAGTCCTTGTGAACTGAGCTTTTAGATTCCAAGCATCTGGTTCTGCAAACACTTGTTTGAAGTCAATGCAGAGTTGCTCATTTGAAGGCCTCTATATGGGGATAAGTAGCAACAGGTGGCTATAAAACACAATAGAGAGGGCATTGGGAAGACCCAGCTGACATTAATAAGAACACAAGGTTGCATCCACATAGCTGGGATAGCTCAGCAGCTGGTGTCTTTGATGGCTGTTCATTACATTATTCATAGTACCTTTTGCTCCCTATGATTATTGCATTCATGTCATTCAGGTCATTATATTCTTAAGGGGAGGGACTGTCCTGGTCATCTTCGTAGTACAATAAGGTCTCACCCCTGATTGGGGCCTTTCATTGCTTCCCCAATAACAAATGCTATGGAATAATACCTTACTGATGAACATCCATTAGTTCTCCAGACCCAAGTGGTGTCCTAGCAGGAAACTAATCTGTTGTCTGATGATGACTGTTTCATGCAATTGCCTACCTAGATTTTTGTAGAGCTAAAAACCCAAGGAAGATATGAGGCTGTGTGCATGCGTGCGTGCGTGCATGCATGCACGTTGGGGTGGGGAGGGGAAATCTATACTTAGTGAAATTTGGGAAGTATTCCAGAGATGACTTACAAGTATGGAAAAGAATACATCTTTTGTGATGCCCAAGACTTTATCAGGTTAGTTTTGGAGGTTTTCCAAGCTTTTAAAGACTTTTTTTTGGAATGAAGCAATTGCACTGAATAACAGTAAAGTGTTTTCCATGTATTTTTTTTTTTTAATTGCACTGGGGTTTTGCAGCAGCTTCCTCTCTTTTTATATAGCTTTGATTTTGTTCATGCAGTTCCACTAGGATCAGATTAAGCATTTATCTTGGTGACGCACCAACACATTTTGGAGGGCTATAGTAACAATGCACAATGAAGCCAGTGGTTGGTTATAAATACTTAAAGGTACCTAGTAGCCCAACTAGCCTTGGGCCCCCTTCTTGTGCTACTCACAAAAATATGGAAAAAGGCTGAGTTAAACTTGCTCTGAAAAACTTGCAATTTAAATAGACGGTACAGATGTATAAAGGAATCAAAAGAATAGTAGTATTCCCACTTTCTGGGTAGGAAACTGGGGCTATGTCTATGCTGCATCCTTCTCATTCTGGATGAGGAATGGGCTCAAAATGCGCTCTACCTGCTTGTGCTTCTTTGAGCTCTTCACATTTGGAAATGCAGTAGTGAATCCACTGGGTGGACATAGTACATGGCTCTTCTCTGGCGCCCTGAATCATGTTTCAAGAACCAAGTGAGGGAATGGGACATTTCTGGGTTTGGTGTTTGTGAGCTGCCCATCTACTTCTGCTCATAAATCTCCCCAAAAATACTGGGGGCAGGGCTGACATACCTTAGAGTACTGCAAATGACTTGCTGTTCTATAGTTCTTTCCTTTTTGCAGCTAACCATTGCTTTCCCATATGAGTTGATAAAATTGTAGACAGTGTTTTGGATTACTGATGAAATGTTCTTGGCAGTCTTATCATTTGGGGAACATCCTTATTTAGCAGCAGCAGTTTCTTAAAACTTTGAACCTAGAGCTTTTGTGGAGTTGTGGCTTCAAGAGTTGCTGTGTTCCTTTAATTCTTTTCAACCCCATGTCTCCAAATGAGGAGCTACTCCTAGGACTCTTGTGGCAGCAGGTGCATAGAAAGTAGCATCTCTGATAGGTTCCCACAAGCAGACCCATGTCCAAAAACTTTGCTGTTCACTTGGTTGCCAATGCTGTGAGCCAGTGAACTTGACAATGCAGTAGCCTTAGGCATACCAGGAAGACCATCTAGTTAAATTGCTTTATCATATTTATAAAGTCTTTTCAATATTTTTCTCCTCCACAGTCTTTGATGAAATAGGCAAATATCACCAGCTCAAAGCTCAGTTACTGCCTTTGTTTTTTCTGCTGAGTAGGAGGTTGGGGCTTGAATAACTTCTGGACTTTAAACTACATGCAACAAGCTATTGAGTGGTAAAAGTGGCATTCCCAGCTAGTCTAATGGGAGTGACTCGTGAGCTCGCAGTTCTCTAATATAAGATTGGAAGCTGATATCTGTAGCAGAAGCTTTGCATGCAACTACTGTAAGCTAAAATCCATGTTATGTGGGGAAGCTGACTGATGAAATGACATGCTGTGATCTTGGGCTGTTTTATTTAACATCTAAAATTATATTAATTGTATATGGTGCCGAGCAGCAACTGCCTGTGGAGTCGGCGGCAGCCACCCATAGAAGCCGGCAGCGGCTTCAGCAGCAGCCAATCTTGGGGGGGCACATGCCACCCCGTGCACCACCTACATGTTGCCTATTCCCCCAGTGCTGCCGGTTCCCCTTGCTCCTGACCCACAGCCGCTGCTCCCCCCAACCCTGCCAGTGGTCCTCACTCCTGACCTGCAGCCTCTGCCCCTCCCAGCCCTGCTGTCTGTGCAGTGCATGCACGTGCACACACACACAAGCAGTTGGCCAGAGCTGTGCACAGACCACATGACCCCCAACAGCCACTCACCTTGCCCGCTGCTCCCAGCCCCAAACAGCCAACTCAGGAAAGCAGAAGCAAAGTAAAAACTTGGATATCTGCTCACATTTCAAAAACCTGCCTGGACATGAGGACGGGGGGCCAAAAAAGAGGACACGTCCAGGAAAACCCAGACATATGGTAACCCTACTGGTAGGGGCATGGACTATGCCCCCTCCTGCCCAGGCAGCAGGGAGGCAGCCTCTCCCCTGCAGCCAGAACCAGCTGATGCACATGCATCAACTTGAAACAGCTTTCCTGCCATGGGGGTAGGGGAGTACAGCTCCTGGTTGCCCCCTGGCTGGAAAGCTTGCCTTTTGACACAACTTTGTTGCCTACCTTCCAGGGGGTTGGAATGCTTGTTGGCTCCCCTGTCTCACCACATTTTCCACTGCTGCAAATTCCCTGTGAATTTGTAACACTATAATTGAACACATCTCCCTAGCCTTTCTTTGGCTGCTTGCAGCTGCACCATCTAATAAATGATATCAGATTTACTCGAAGAACCTTGTCTGCCTCTTGTATATAGCCCAGCACCCATTTGGGCTGTAGCAGCCATTTCAGGGTGCAAGTAGGTTGAAGAAGGGAGATTCTTGATTGCCTACTGTATTGGAACAGGGGGAGGAAGGCTTCTCTATCATCCTATATTTCTCTTCCAGCCATTATTCTAGTCTATTCTGGTCTATAGAAGGCATTGCTATGGATAGGCTTTCTTAAAGGGAAATAAAGGAAAAAGTGACTGATCTAGGGTTTTACTTTGTAAGCAAAAGATCCTGGCCTTTTTTCTGAGCGTCAGGAACTCTTGTCCTTCCGAAGTGCTGAGCCCCTGGAGAAACTTTTACTGTATCTATGAATGTGAGTTCATAGCCTGGATGAAAGTCGGGTCCCCCTCATCTCTCCCTGGGCTTCTTTTATTTTGAACTTCTTTATAAGCAGAAATTTGGACAAATGGTCTCATTCTTCAGTAAAGTTTGTCACCAAACCTAAAAAGACAAATGTCCTTCGTTTCCAAAGAGTTGAAAACTCCTTTTAAATAAATGAAATAAAGAAAAGGCCAGTCCTCTTCTTTTCTCAAAAAGTCTTAGAAGGATACAAAAACTGCTGCAAGGCAAGAAAGAGAGAGACAATAACAATTACTCCCTATTCATTTAACTAATGCTTATTGGAGGGGTGGGGGGGAGATTCCCAGTGCAGGAGAAGAGTAATACAATTAAAGAGAAACAACCTCAGGGTCTTTGGGGTAGGAAGGAGAAAAGAAATTGTAAACGTTCTTTTCTCATGGATTGTTAAAACAAAACTAACACGTTGATGGCAAATCTGTGCCATAAAAAATTCTGAGTTCCCTTTCCTTTAAGAGGCATGACAAAGTTTAAGGAAAGAAAAAGAAGAGAAACTCTTCCAAAGAATTGGTTTAGCAACAGAACCAGACCATCCTGTTTCGGGCAATAATATATATATATAGCTCTAGAGCTGAAAGAGGGGACCAGTTATGCTATTCCTTTTAATGGAATGAGGATTAGGCCCTACCCTTGAGCATCTGACTGGGGAGACTGAAAAGCAATGTCGCCTGTACTCTCTTGTGTGTTACAAGCAATGATATATATATATATTTTTTTTAAATGCAGTCCACTCTGAGTACTGGAATGTGCACTCGGAGTGAGCATACAGACATAGGCAGAGTCCTATTTCAAAAACACACCTTGTGTTAAGGGTCTGCAAGACAGTATTTGCTTTCATTGCAGCACCTGCCAGCTTTGCTGTGTTTAAGGATCTGTCAACAGCTTCAAAAGAAAGGGATTCCATGGCAGTGAAAATGAGGAGGGGTTTTACCTTAGGACTGACCTTTTTAAAAATCAGTTTTAGATTCCAAAGGGCACATCAGAATTTGTGTTTCAGCTCTCATATAGTTGCGTGAAACCCTTAAAATGTCTTTTATTTTTATTTATTTATTTTTTTGCAGTTTCCATTCTCATTGTGGGTCTGGCTTTGATTCTGCCACCTTACTGATGCAATTTTTTTTATTTATTTTTTAGTTGGTGTGTAATCCTATTGTTTCTATTGAAACCACCCATGGAGAGGTAGTGTGGGCCCAATGCAGTAGGCACTGAACAGTGTCTTGAGACTTGGGTTCTGCTTCTGCTGGTAACCTGAAAAAAGAGTCTTCAAATCTCTCTCTTTCTGTTTCCTGTCCCACCATCTGTCTTGTCTATTTAGACTGTAAGCTTTTTGGGGTAGGGGCTGATACTAATTATTGTCTTACAGTAACCAACACATTATCAGGCCCTGACCTCAGTAGAACTCAGTGTGAATAAGGGTAGCCAAATCTGGTCCTCATTATATGCATTAGTGTATGCTCTTATTATAATTTTATCATCTGGGGGGAAACGGAGGGTGTTTATTTAAGCAGCAACAACCACAAATTAATTCAAAATAACTTTAAGTCCTTAATAACTTCAGGCTAGTTATTGCTGCTGTTCTGAAGTCTTATTTCAAACCTTGCAGATTAAGCCTATTGCATTTTTTTGTTTGGATGGAGTAAAGGGAACATTTAAAAGGAGGAAAAAATTCCACACAGCTTAGCCCAGTCTGAAGCAGTTGCCTGTTTTTCTTGATTTGAAACACTTTGTTAAGTGGAGCAGGGCAGGGCTAGCTATGGCAGTTTCCAGCCCATTTTTGGACTGCATATACAAAGCAGAGCTGAGAAACAGGCATTTGCATGAATGCTTATTGGTAGCTGATCCAATCCTCATTTTGTTGTTGTTGTTGTTTGGGACATGTCTGGTTTGTGTGGGGGGGTTTGTTTGGTTTTTGCTTTGTGGGTGCATGCAGGGTGTGGGGGCAAAGGCATTTGTTCAAATCTTACTTGAAGACGAGGAATAGAAAAGTAAGTAATTGTGGTGGGTAGCAAACAGAGCCCTAGGGTGATAATAGGATGCAATGAATAATCATCCCTCCATGTCATTCTTGATATAGACTTGAACCCTGCTGAAGGGGTGTTATCTGCCGAGGTCAGGATTGTGACAAAGTGTAAGTTTGAAAGGGAAATCTGCTAGTGAGAGTGATACTCGCACCCGCTGAGTGATAAGCTGCTGACAGAATGGCACACTGATGTTTGAATTGCTTTCTCT